CTATCTATCTATCTATCATCTATCATTTATCTATCTATTTATCTATCATCAACTATCAATCTACCTATCATCTATCTATCATTATCTATCTATCTATCTATCTATCTATCTATCATCTCTATCATCTATCTATCTATCATCTATCTATCTATCTATCTATCTATCTATCATCTCTATCATCTATCTATCATCTATCTATCTATCTATCTGTCTATCTATCTATCTATCTATCTATCTATCTATCTATCTATCTATCATCTATCTATCTGCCTGTCCGTATTCCCACTCATTTTGCACATCTCAGCTATTCATGCCCCCGACCGAGCCCAGTGCTCAGAGCTTCTACCACTGTATGCATTCTGGGTCCATAAGTGCAACTTGACAGAGGGGGAATGATGAGGCATGAATATAAAGGGTTATTCCCCTGAATTTCTCATTTCCACAATGATTTATTTAGATCTATGTTTGTCTCATGACTATGATGATATTTCATTTAAGTAGATTGCTATAAAATCCTCTAACTGCTGCAAACTCTGTACCCCTGAGAGGGATGTATGTTGGTAAAACAAACTACCTAAGAATAATGAAAATCTTAACAATTACAACAGCTTTAAACTATTCTGCAGATCTAGTAAGGCACCAAGAGATAAAGGTTTAGAACACAGACTCTGAAGCCAGGTCTCCTGGCACAAATCCTGACTATGAGCTACATCACCAGAGACAGATAATCTAATCTCCTTGTCTTAGTTTCCTCATCTGTAAACTGGAGATAATATCTCACAGGATTGGCTGAAGATCAACTGAAGAACTTATGTAAAACACACAGAGAGTAGTACACATGCATAAGTAATTATTGTTGCCAGTGCTGTTACCCAAAACAATTATAACTGACTCCCATAGCATTTCATGATAAAACTAAGAGAATATTAACTGAGATCAATCACTTCTGTTAAAATTGTAAGAGTTCTTGATTTTTTTCTTGATAATTGGTAAGCATGTAAATCTATGTGTTTGCTTGGAATTTTCATTACCTGTGTTGAAAATGCTTGTATGTTGATCAGCCGGGGTTCAGAGAAGAACTGCTGGTCACTAATTTTCAAGGAGAAGTACCCTTTCCTAAAGAAGTTCCCAAGCAAGGAATAAGAAAACATGATCACAGTATTAGTGTTTGGAAAGATAAGGATTAAAAAGTATTTTCAGGATGTGTGCATGTACAAATTCATATGAAACCATTACAGATATATAATATTTATACTGTAGAAAATAGAACCAAAGATGAACCTAGCTAAAAACATTGTGTGGGGCTGGCAGGATGGCTCAGTGGGTAAAAGCTTTTGTTTACCAACCCTGAGGACTTGACTTTGATCCCTGGATCCCATGATGGAAAGAGAGAACCGACACCTACAAGTCATTCTGTCACCTCAGCACATGTGCTGTGGCACATATGTGCTATACACACACACACACACACACACACACACACAATAAAAATTTAAAATACTGTCATTGTTAGATTTCCTTAAACATAAAATAATATAACTTTTGTTTCTTATTTTCTAAGATATATATATATATATGAATATTCAACTTACTTATCAGAAAAGTTACTTGTCAGGCCAGGCCGGTTAGTGGTATTCAAGTAAATGGTTAAACTAAAAACTGGAAAAGAAATCTCTTCCCAGTTTTCAAAGATTACATCTACCCAGAAACCCTTCCCCACACCCTTCCCAGTTCATGTAAGTAGGTCCCAAGAATAATGCTTGCGGTGCTCAATTGTGTGACTTTATCCTCCCTACCCCCACCCTACATGCATTCACTATGGATACAACTAAGGAGGCTGCTTCTTCTCGGGGGCTAACAGTCAACTATTTGATTACGAGTAACCAGCCGCTAGCATGTGGATGAGCATGTGGAACAAGCCCATCTGGAGGCAAAAGGAGAACGACAGTTATGGGTAGAGACTGGAAAAAAGAATCCAGTCCTGCTTCCAATTTCCAGTTCTCATTCCTGAACTTCCCTGGAGTGATTGCTCCTACTGTCTTTGAGGTGTGAGCCACCTCTGCAAAGTTAAAACTGTTTAACTGTTTTGCTTAGTTTCAATTGATTTCCATTTCTTACAACCAAAGATCCCAATGAAGGCTCACTCTGATGTGGGTTGACTTCCTGGAAAAGGCTTCTTCCAACAGCTTCAGAGACTTTTAGGAGGGAAGGCAGAGTTGATACCCTCCATTGAAAATTAAGCCAGCTGTTAAATGAGTGATTAGTGCATTATGGGAGATTTTGCATTCTGGTCTATAACAGGAACCATTGCTTTAAAGGTCCTTTAAAGGGTATTCTTGGAATTAAAGTACTTACACCTAAAATATGTGGATAGATCTACAATCCAACTGCAGAACCAAAAGACTACATATTGTTTGACTCCAGCCCTGTGATTTTCAGAAACGGAAAAGCTACAGAAGTGAAAAACCAGATTAGTAGTTGCCCAAAATTGGAATGAAGTGAGTAACTATTTAAAAAGATCATTATTTTCTATTTAATTTTTTAAACTTCCCAGACTGTGACTTTTATCTCTAGAAGTTCAATTAGGGCCTAGGTGAAGGCATGCTGGGGCTGCAGAAGAGTAATAGAAAAATAATGGAAAAACCTCTTAGTGCCTGGTAATGGGTGAGGTCCAACAGTAAGGCTTAGATACCTAGGACCACTTGAGGAGTGAGGACCACATGCAGTCTTTTAATGTAATTACATTACTTCTTAAAGCAAAGCTAATAAAATATTTTTAAATTAAAAAAGAAACAGATCAAGGGGGAAGATGATGGAAATGTTTTATATATTGACTGTGGTTTTGGAAACAAGACTATATATCTGTTGACAGTCATAGAACAGTACACTTTAAAATAGAGATTGTCATTGAATGCACATTCTAGCTAAATAAGCTTGGCTTTATTCTTGTCTTCTTTCAGAGTCCGTTCTCCTTTTCATATCCAGCCCCATTCAATCCTGCCCTCTCTACCTACCTCCAAGCTTCAAGAGAATGCAGCTAGCAGACCACATCGTGAACAAAGGAGGAAAATGAGTTTTGGTGGCACTGAGGTCCCACTAACAGAATCTGGTACCTCAGCTTATCGCAATCTCTCCAGCTACATTTAAGAATTGGGTTTTTACTCCACAGGAAATTTCTAAACCCAAAGGAGCCCAATTGTAAAGAATTCCAATTGCAATCAAGGTCAGTGTTTTTATGAAGCACAAAACACAAACTTGCAAGGAAAATTGCCTCTTTTGCTTTTGTATCATTCACAGATAAATAGTTTTACTTTTTCATGAGTTTTCCTCAACCTCAATTTACTATTTCTGTCATTTCTTTTGTTTGATATTTTTAGATAAAGAAAATCTGGTATTAAAAAGCATACCCATGGTCCCATAAAAGACTACTGCAAGAATTCCTAGATTACCACAGTTTATCATATTTAAAGGTGCAAAGCTAAGATTCTGCAAAGAATTGGGTGATGTATGATAAAAATTAAATAGACTAGAGTGGTTGTTCATTGAACTTTATATTTACCATATGTGATTCTAAGGCAAATGACTTCAGAGCTGTGTAATTCTATGAGTATGGTGTGTGTGTGTGTGTGTGTGTGTGTGTGAGAGAGAGAGAGAGAGAGAGAGAGAGAGAGACAGAGAGAGACAGAGAGAGAGAGAGAGAGAGAGAGAGAGAGAGAGGGGCAGACAGAGACAGAGACAGAAACTGTGAGAGTCAATGCAGGGAGACAGAGAGATAGACATAGACACATGAAGGAAGACACACACACAGACAGAAACACATGCAGAGAAAGAGAGAGATACACAGATGCTTAAGATGTTAAGCATGGATGGATGGAGGAGGACTTGAAGAGTACCTCAGTGGCATCAAACACTACAGCCTCTGGAGCAGCAGGCACTTTTCTACGTGGAGATCTTTATTTAGCTCTCAAGGATGAGAGCATGCCTGTTGTGGCTAAAGGCATGGATTAGGGAGTCAGAGAGTATTGGGTTAGAGTACCAGGTGTGAGATCTGGGCAAAATGATTCATTTTCTCAAGGCTCAGGTAAAGTACTTAATACCATGCCTGGTCAAAGCTAGCATTCGGTACACATTACCTGTTCTTATTCCTATAATATGGTCTTTGAAGATTCCTCCACCATCAGCTCTGAACTATAATAGAAAAACTGCCATCTGTTTTTCTTTCCACATATATTTTAGCCTGAACTTCAACCAGTCCATCAATCAATAAATCAATCAATCAACCAATCATCAATCAATCAATCAATTCATAAAAGTAATCAGAGAATCACTCGAGTGTAGTGTTGGCATTAGAAAATATTCAGATGTGTTCCATGGGCTTCAACTCCTTGTTTACACATAGGAGTCTATGGTGAGCAATGTGCATTAATAAGGCAGAGCAGGGTGACAGAGAATGCAAGGGGTTAATCTTTGGAGTGCATTCTGTGGTTTCTGTTTAGTAGATTTACTCTGCTAATTATAGGGCTGCATTTGCTTGGGTTCACATTAACGTTCACTTGCTTTCCCGAAGCATATGTCAGCTGGGGTAGGAAAGACAGCCAGAAGTGTGTGTAGCATCAAGGGAAAACTGGATCAGACTTAGAAATTAGCCACAATTAATCTCATAAAGTGGATAATAAAAAACTATGACTCTAAGTTTCTTTCCCCCTCTGAAATTCTTGGACCAAATGACACCTTGAAAAGTCACTCTCCCACCTTCTCCTGCCCTCTAGTCCTCTAGTCCCTTGGAGGAAGCAACTTTAGCATCTGGCTACAATCAAGTTTTGTTTCTACTGGGCCCAAAATCTTGATAATTATACTTAGAATTTTCCTGTCACATCTGAGAATTACCCATAATTATGTAATAAAATGAAAATGCCTCAAACATAAGCATACTCTCTAAGCAATTATGGGGAAATGATGACAGGCAGCTGAAGGCAGTTGTGGAGTATCGATCTTCCCCTGACCAGAAGGGATGGCTATTAGGAGAGAGACTGGGGTGGACCAGCCTGGCAGGGATGGGAAGGAGGCGGTGGGAAGAGAACAGCATTAACTCACCTAAGCCTCTCTTTGCTGTGTACAAAGCGCACTTTCTTCTCATTCACATCTTTCCAGCTAAAATGGCCAGCCTTGTCCAGCTGAACCTCTTTGCCACTTCTTGAGAGCACCAGATGACCATTGGTGGGCGTGCTCACAACATGGAACAGAAGATCTTCTACTCTGCCATCCTGGTGTTGGACGTTCAGGAGAGAAAAGTCCAGTGGCTTCATTGCACCAATTGCAAGGGTCAAGGAGCCATTTATGTGAAGACTGGGAGTGTGCATTTTGTCTAGAAAACATATGAACCTAAAGATCAGGCTTACAAATTCACTAACTGGGCTCCATATATTTACTAAAGAAATAGGCTTGCAATTCTAATTCAGTGTTAAACATGCAGAGATTCTAGGCTATTCCACAGCATGATTATCCTTCTACCCTACGTGTTCCTGCCTGGATGCAGACGAGGATAACATGGGGCTTAGATGGAAGAGTTAAACTGTAAAATTGTTAAAAGACAATGTAGAAATAGATTTTGAAAATTTCTAACTGAGCAGGAATTTCTTAGGTAAAGCAAAATAGCATATGATACAAAATTAAAAAAAAAACAGATTAGCTAGCATCATTAAAAATAAATACCTTGTACTAAAAAAAAAAAAAATATCAAAATAAAAAGACAACCTCCAGAATGGGAGAAAAGTTTGCAAATCCTCAATCTGAAAAAAAAAGACTTGCATTCAGAATATAAAAGAACTTACATCTCAACAATAAAGGACAGATTTTAAAATGGGTAAGAATCAAAATAGGCTTGTCTCCAAAGACAAAAGGTCAGTAAGTACACAAAGAGGTATGCAGCATCAGTCACCTTGGGAATGTGAATCAAACCTCAGTTAGCTGTCACTTCACTTCCACTAGGATAGACAGTAAAAAGTGTTGTTAAGATGTATAGAAATTGGAACCCTCACACATCAGTAAAATGGTGCAGTCATTTGAAGATGTAGTTGCTCAGTTCCTCAAGTAAATATAGTTCCTACAATACCCAGCAATTCTACTTCTAGGGAAATACCAAGGAGAACTAAAAGGCCCACACAAAGACTTGCCTGTGAATGCTCACAGCAACATTACTCAAAATATCCAAAAAGGGAAGCTATGTAAATAGCCATTAATTGACGAAGAGATAAACAAGGTTTGGGAATGTGGGTCAGTAGTGCTTGCCTAGCATGTATGGGCTCAGTCTTTAGCACGGAAAACAAACAAATACAGAGGTGAAGAAGTGAATAAACAAAATGTGATCTGTCTATAAACCATTATTGATCCACAAAGGGCATGGTGTACTAATGCACAATGTCACATGGCTGTACCTCGACATGAGAGCCAGACAAAGAAGTCAGACATAAGAACCTATATATTCTATTTATGTGAAATGTCTAGACTAGGCAAATTCACAGAGACAGAAAGTAAATTAGTGGTTGCCAGGGGATGCAGTGACAGGGGGATGAGATGAGACCTCTAATGGTTAGGTGGTTTCTTTTTAGGGTGATAAAAATGTTCTGGAACTAGATATTAATGATAGTTATACAACTTTATGAATATGCTAAAAACCCACTGGGTTATATGATTTAAAGGGTAGATGTTTGGTACATGTTATATCTCAGTAACTAAAATAAAGAGTAATGTAGGGATCATTCAAAGCAATACTGGCACTGGAAGTGTACTGCTAGAAATTCTGAATTAGATGTTCTGGGGTGGACCTCATTAATTTTACAGACTCCCTAGGTAATGCTAATGAGATGGAAAGTTTGAAAACCAGTCTTTTCCTGACACACCTGTCATATCAGATCCAGCAAGGGGAAGAAAAGAGGCAGGTGGCGGATACCATTCCAAAAAGAACACTGGTTAATCCACAATGAAGTGCTGTTATCAGTGGCTCTTATTTGGAATTCATGTGAAATACACATACTGTGTTATGAAATTTTCATCACCTTTGACCATATGAAACATTTGATGAATTAGGGTTTCCAATTATGATGCAGAATCATCCTCTCTCCTGTCAGCTATTTTATCAAGGCCTGTAATGGATAGCATTCCCGTCTACAACTAGGTCATGCAGGACAGCTTGGGAACACCAAGTTTCATGGGGTGACTTCTACATAAAGTTATTCTAATAAACCAGAAATCCATTCTCACAGGTTGATTTGTATTAGTCTCAAGAACAGTAAACTGACTCTTGTGGTTTCCAGGAAGGTCCCAATAAAGGAAGTCAGATATATATTATTTCTCTTTTGAAAAAGTTTTACCTTTAGAGATCTGAAATATGGAGGTAGAATATGTGCTTGGTTGTGGATATTTTAAAAATGCCTCACGTTACAGCTGGGTCTATAGCTCAAGGGTAGAACACTTGCCTAGCATACATGAAGCCCTAGGTTTAATCCTCAGTGCTGTCAAAAAAAATGCTTCATGTTATTGATAATAAATACACAAAAAACAAGGGACACTCAGCCATAGTGAAAATCTCATGGTTTACCCAGCTTTAAAACTTACAGGGCTTAAAATTAGGACTAAATTTAAATTCATTTCTCTTCACTGCTTTTAAAGTGAGATGCCTGTTATGTAATGGGAGAGATCAGCTCCAGTCCTTTAACATGTTACTTGGTCATGGCAAACAGAGTGTCTTCCAATCGATCTACTTCAGACATGTATAGCTAATGGAACAATCTCCTCTCGCTATTCACTATTCATTTATAACTTAATCTCTTCCATGTGTAAAGGAGCTATGGCACTGTACTTTGGCAGAATTAGCTGTACAAATTTATATGAATACAAACAAATGCATTATACATGTAAACATATGCCATTTTCTAAAGTATGGCTGCAGTTCAAGAGTATGCCTAAGTTTATAACAAATTTCTTATCTGATAGTTATACTTTTAAGGTAGAGATTATTTCCTTTCTCAAGACCCTAGAAGCTGAATTTTCCTAACTGTCCATGATCTACAAATAGTGTCTTGTTCCTCAGCATTACCAGGGTTTTCTCCAGAATACAAAGGCTGAATTTCATCTACCAAGTGTTAACCATGTCTAGAAACCCAGCCATCTGCACAGAGAACTCACTGGTGACATCATTAGACCATCAGAGGAGAAGCCCTTACCAGCACAAGTCTTATTAGATGAGTGGGCAGAGAAGCCAGGGACACAGCTGGACATGCAGAGGCCACTCTTCAGAATGAAGCCATGATTGCAGAGGTGGCACCGGTCCCCGCGGCTGCACTGCAAGCACCCCCGAGGGCAGGCTATCAAAGAGAGGGTACAGTGAGGCACAGTCGAGGGACAGACATCAGCTAGAACCACCTGGGGAAATGAAGGCACTGCAGCCAGACGAGATAAAGCAGGGGCATCCAATGAATGCTCCCTAACTATAACAAAAGAGAACTCTGTTTCCCTGCCAAGCTTAGTAGTGAGCTGATCTTCCCTCAGGAAGAAACTGAATGGAGAGGTCCACAGCCCAGTGTAAGCACCACGGCCTATGGATGGGTTTTTTAAAAGGCTACTATCTTGTGAAAGATATTTTAGAGTGACTAAGAGCTCAGGCTCTTTGGGAAGGATTATTCCTTCTCTTCCTCTTAGCTGTGACCTGGGATAAGCTTCTTTAACAATCTGGGCTGCAATGTTCTCGTCTTAACAATAAAGGTAGAAACAGCATCTCATGCAAATAATAGTTGGGAGAATTGCAGCATTATAATATGAGGTGCCAGGCAATAGAAAGGGCTCAGCTGTTCTAGGACCACTTCTCGGCCTTCCTGCTATTATCACTGCAATGTATGTGGTCTGAGAGTGAAGGTAGTGGTAGCTTAGTATTAACTGTATTTGGAGAGCAAGCTATTTAAAGAGCCTTAGAGTTTTTTCCTTTGGATCAAGTTAATGACCTTCTAAAGATTGAGCGCTTCCTCCCTGATTGTCCTGCTTCCTTGTAAGGATTTATTATAGTGAAGCAGTGTAGAATAGTCTAAAGGGCCTGGGACTGGAGTCAGACATCTTTGGTTTAATGTGCTACCTTAACACTTTTAAGTCTGGTTTTTCACTTGTAAAACAAGATTTCTACTGTCTGCCATATTTACTAAGTCATTGTGAAGATTAAATGAGATAATACAGATGAAGAAAATGTGGAGAAATGTAAAATGTTATGCCCGCTTAATGGCATCATTAAAGCAGTCTCTCTAAGTGTGAGTGTAAAGCGATAGGTTTTGATAGAAATGAGAACAAATGGGAATTTTTCTTGACTGATCTGGTAGACAGGCAGGTTAAGACTGTAGGTTTAACTTTAGCTTAAGAATGAAAGCTCCAGTATGTCTCACTAAATTATACCCTAAATCCGTTTCTTCAAGAATATAATGCCAATATTGGGGTCAAGGGTGATCTAGCCTACACAATGAAAATTGTCTGTCCATATCAATATGGCTGATCCACTCTTAATGGACACTTCACTGCAATTCGATATGAGCTTTACATTTCATAAGATGCTGGCTTCATTTCCACAAAGACCTTTAGGAACAATATTGATTCGTCCAAGAGAGTTATTGGGCTGCACTCCTATATTCTATTAAATGAGCCTTTGGCAGGTGTACATGGGAAGCCATCAATTACTTAGAACAAGCTCCATGAGTTTTCATTCTGCTTCTAATTCAGATGCCCCCAGTTACCTGAGAATCAGTGCACATGACTTATTGGCTGCCCTTTGCTCTTCCCAGAGCACTCAGCAAAGACTCAAGTTACCTGTGCATCTGTGTTTTGCATGATCTGCAAAATATCCCTTCCCACATTCCTGAACACACCGGGCTTCCAAGAGGAGAAATGGTTCTTCACAGCGAGTGCACTCATGGGGACCTTGGCACTGGAGACAGTGACTGTCACAGCCTGAAAGACAAAAGTTAAGTCAACAGGAATCTGTGTAGTTTTCCAAGGGAGCTCTGGGCACTTAGGAAAAGGAAGCATTAAATGTCAAGCAGGAACATGTTCTGGGGTGCTGGGCAAAGCACTCCATGAGGAGCTGAGGAGCCAGGTTTTGGGTTATGACTGCTCCACCTGCCAATGGAGGACTTGGGATTAGTCACTCTACCTCTATGAACCTCCACGTTCTTCCTACAAAACAGAAGAGAAAATACTGTCCTAAATACCTCCCACGCTGAAAGTTGAATAATGGAAAATGCTAGACAGAACTAAAGTGACAGATATTTGTGATTATTATAACTATTCATTAGTCCTTAGCTCTCAGTATTGTTTTATTGAAGTATCAATCTTCCCTGACTCGTCTAGTCAGTTATCAGTCTCTCAGGAATGTTGTCTGTGCACTTTTGGTAGGAATTTTGGGGTCTAAGCAGCTTGAGGTTGAAGGTCATAATATAGAGTTCAGTGTGGCAGCATATACCGTCATACCAAGCACATGAGAGACGGAGGCAGGAGGATTGCTATTTCAAGGCTGGCCTGAGCTATAGTGATATCCTATCCCAAAAACACATCAAAGGAAGAAAGGAAGGAGGGGAGAGAAAGAGGGAAGGTACTGAGAGGGAGGGAAGAAGTACTTGGTCAAAGAGAGGTGACTGTAAGGTTTATGGCATAGAGATAATGGAGGGAGCCATAAAACAATATGGTCTTTCCACAAGTTCAAATGCCTAGGTGTAGAGTTTCCCATCTGAGAACAGGTTTGCTCAACTTTTAAGGAGACCTAAAATTATTAGTTTACCCAAATATATTTGTATGGCCTTGAAACTCCAAGGTTAGCGTACTGACATCAGATTTTAGCATGTGTTGTACCAGGGCATGAGCAAAGGAAAATGAAGCTGCCATTGATAAAACAAAGACAGCTCTGAAGAAAGAAACTAGGACCAGCTAAAAAGCCAGAAGGAAAACCTGTCATGGGCTTTTCAGAAATCAGAGAAAGCCAAGGGTTGGACGATCACAGAGCAAGCCTTCAAACACTTACGCTTGCAGAGGCCTGAGTCCCGGTAGTGTGTGGATGAGCACTGCTCTACGCAAGCGCCATCCTGCAGAACGTAGCCGTCCATGCACTGCAGGCAGTCTGTTCTCAGCGGTCCACTGCAGGCATTGCAACTCCAATCACACTCTAGAAAGAAAGTCTGCATTAGATCAGCTTCCTTTTCTGTCTACTTTGGTCCCAGCCACCCATTTAGGAAGGCAATGTCTGCAGTTGCAAGGGGCAAAGCGAGGACAACATAAGAGATGTTGGATGAGAGTTGTAACGAGGCCTCAGCTTATAATAGCCTACATGCTTCTCTGAGGTTTGCTGTTTCCTAATTATGTCAGACACAGGCACGTACAGGGAGTGCTCCAAGCCCATGCAGAGTCTGCTTGTCAGCAGGGCTGCTGAGAAGCCAAATCAACCTGGCCTTATTCCAAGAGTACCTGAGGACTTTATCCCTGTGCACATCTACCCTAGGGAGTGGTCGGCTGGCTTACCTGCCACACCTAATCCTGACTTCTCCGAAATGCTCAAGGATCACCAGCTTCAGAGATGTTAGAGGCACAATTAACACTGTTGCTGCCACAGGACACCAGCCGCTGCTGCCACTGAACCAGCCTCATACTCTCACAATTAGACAACGACAGCATGGCATAAAGAACCGATGATGTTCAAATTAAAGGGAGCATAAAGAATCTTCCAGAAATAAGAGATTATTGAGCAACAGAAGACCTCATTTATGGCAGAACTGACTCAATGTGTTTCTTTGTTCAGAAAGCACCAATGGTGATACAGGTTGCTGCATGAGGAGAACACAAAAGTGGGATGTGTAGACTTTGCTATCAAGGAGCTTATGCTGTGGTGAGGCCAACCTTCGATGTGGACCTCAATAGTCTAGGGGGAGTGCTAGAAATACTATTCAGGCTTAGCATTAGATCTTCTGAGTTGGAGTCCTCGGAGCTGGGGCATAGAAAAACATGTTGCTATTATTGTTTTTGTTATTATAATTATGATAGTGGTTATAATTGTGTTTTTGATGTCATAGGCAATACTGATGCAATTAGAGAACTCTTGTTTAAGAGGCAATGTTCTAGCTGGTAAGTCCTTCATCTCTGGGAGATGGGAGGGAACAGCACAGTTAAGTACATGAGTTTTTAAGTCAGGCAAGTTTATTAAATCATGACTTTGTTACTTTTTATCTGCTTTCCTATCTCTCTTCCTTAAACTTTCTGAGCTTCAATAAGACAGATAACAATGTCACTGGGACCAGAGGTGTAGCTCAGTGGTAATGTACCTAACATCCTTGAGGCCCTGGGTTCAATACCAATAATAAATAAATAAATTTAGTGCAATGCCCAGAGTATACTAACATCTCAGTAAGGGTTTGCTGATGAACTGTTTTCTTAGAGAACATATCTACAGTGCTGCTTCAATTCCATTTTCCTACCCTGCTATGAAGCTGTGGAAACTGCTCACTCTTATTTTTTCTTCCTTGATGCAATATTTCTAAGTCCCTAAGTAGCAGGTAAATGTGAAAGATGGTACTCATGCTCTGAAGGTTTATAAAATTAATCTTCTTCATTTATTTGGCTGAATCAGTCCCTAGGGAAAATGACTAAAACAGAGCCTTGAAAACCAATAGTTATGAAATCATTTGCAACACAGAGGATCTGTGATAATCTTGTTTTTACCTCAAACTGACAGGCCCCAGTTAGAAGGAAAAGAACAGAAAAGTGTCTATGGTCTTGAACATGGAAGACCACCTAAGTTGACAACCAGTAGAATTTCTTGGAATGGAAAGTGCAATTTTGCAGAGGCTGAGAGCTTCCTGAGTTTACTTGTAGATGTTTGACCTCTACATCTGAGCTCAAGCTTCTCTGCCAGAACTGGGAGGCTAGAAGAGACTAGACATGTGTTCTGGATAGCTTTAGTGTCAACTTGACACACCTGGGTTGAGGGAGCCTCAATCGGGGAATTGCCTCTATTGGACTGGCCTGTGGCCATG